AACGACGACACAACTTTGGTCGATACCCGGGAATTATCCCCAGCAAAGCCCCTCGATGACAACGACGACAACGACAAACCCACCTCGCAACCACATGCCGCGCAGCCGCCCGCGCCGCCCTCAACCGAGCCTCGCCAACAACAACAACAACAGCAACTCACCCCAACCCACCCCTTCTCCCTCCCCTTCCTCCGCTCCCTATTCTCCTCCTACCACTGTCCCTCCTTCATCCTCCTCTGGATCCTCGCCGGCGAAACCGAATCCTTCTCCTCCAACGCCCTGCTCTCCCTCTACCTCAAATCCCACCCCTCACCCACCAAGAAATACACCATCTCCCAACTAAACACCTACCCAACCGGCGTCCCCGCCGTCGGCATCGTCAGCACCCTCTTCTTCGCCTTCCTCACCGACCTTTACCCGCACCACCGCTCCATGGTAGGCTACTTCATCGGCGTCGTCGGCACTTTAACGCCCTCCCTCATCCTGGCCGCGCAGGCAGGGCGGTTCGGACCACCAGACGCAAAAAACGCAACGGCCGTCGTCATGGCCAGTTATTACCTCGCCGGAAGCGTGTACGCTTGCCAGGCGACGTTCTTCGCGTGGGCGAACGACGCCATGACGAGGGACGGGAAGGAGGCGGTTTTTAGGGCGGTGGTCCTGGCGGGCATGAACCTGGGGAGTAATGCTGTGAATGCGTGGTGGAGCATTGTGTTTTATGGGGCGGAAATGGCGCCGTGGTTTGAGAGGGGCATGTGGGCTATGGTTGGGAGTAGTGTGGCGGTGGCGGGGTGGACGGCGGTTTTGGAGGGGGTGGAGAGGAGGGCGAGGAGGGTGAAGATGAACGTGAAGAAAAGGGAGGGGGAGGGGGAAAGGGAGAGGGACATAGAAGAGGCGGGGAGGATACAAGAAAAAAATGCTTCTGCTGCTGCTGGGCAGGTGATAACCTCAAGGGAGAAGCGGACGGCGGTTGATGTGTGTTGATATGGTTGATAGATATGCTTGTATTTATCTGGCCGTTTCCTGGATATTCACAAGGTCCTCCGTATATCCAGTCTAGCCTCACGCCGTCTACCGTGGTAATTGGATACCTGTATAAAGACTTGAGTAAGAGCAAAACTCACGTCCTCAAACATGGAGCTGAAACAAATGCGAAAGTCAAGGCAAAGCAAAATGAGTAGAGTGGTCATGGTCATTTCTCTATTATAAACCAGTCCTTGTCTCGAGGTCCCGTCTGCCGGATGACAAGTCATAACCTGTCATCCATGACAAGACAGTTCTCGGTAGAAGCAAAGATAGTAGAGTGGTCATATCCATTTTGTACTCGTCAAAAGCCAACTTGTCCCCAAGTTATAACCTATCATCCATGGCAAGATACATCCAGTCTCAATCAGCAGCCAATGCCCAGTGTGTAGTACCTCCACCCACTACATCATGAACCCCACGTCGCCCATGTGAATGTCCTCCAGCAACACCTCAACTCCCATCCCTTAACCCTCGTTGTAGTCATGGCGAATTTCGTATGCGAGCTGCAGTAATAAAAACGACTGGAGAGGCATGCTAAGCCTGAGAGCAAGACAAGCACCGCTAAGCATGCTGGCCACACCAGAGGGTCTAGGTAGTGTTGTCGATAAAGTCGAGTGGTTAGTGCGTTTGTGTTTGTTTATCAGAGAAGAGAAGGGGGCGAAGCAATAGAAAGGACAACATGAACTTACAGAGCAAGAGCTGCATCCGCAACCTGAGCAGCTACCAGAGCAGCCACTGCCGCAAGAGGTACAAGTGCTGTTGAGAAGGAACGAGAAATGTTAGCTTGAAGGTTCGTGAGTGTCAGGCACATCAGGGCCAGGCCAAGGTGAGGGGCGACACTACCACCGTCTAGACGACTGGACCGAAGGAGGAGCCCAAGGGGAAGGAAAAGAGTCGCTCACATACCAAGGACCCATCTCTTGTATCGTTTAACCCGTCCCTGTCGCTCAAGTGCTTCTTGTTGATCAAGCCATATCTGGACCAGCCGAAGGCGCAGTTCAAGGGCTTGAAGGCGCTGTAGACGAGCTTGAAGAAAATGCTGCCGAGCGCCAAAGTTGGTTGGTGATGGATGGTGAGGAGGAGACGAGGTTCTCCAGTTGTGCGGCGGGGGGCGGGGGGTCCAACGGCTTCTTAGATCCTCCTCGTCTGCCTGTGCCCCTGGCACCCGATGAGGAAGCCAAAAGTTGCTGAAAGCTGTGTTGGTCATCTGACTGCAGGTGGTCCTGTCAAGCGGGCTGTTGGGTTGTAAGGAGCAAGTTGTGATGGATGAGTGTGTGACCAGTGGTCGAGATTAAGAGGCGGACGGGGCTTCCTCGTTTGGGCTGCCTGATGGAGTGAAGGGCGCTGAGCGGGCGGTGAGAGGTCCGGGGATTCTGCCAGCGATCTCCCGTCAACCTGAATGACGGGATGGGGTGGACCTGGTCCTTCCATCTTTCAGGTTCCCGGAAAGGACGAGTAGTGAAAACCGTCCAATGTTTTGTGCCTAGCTGGCCGGCCGTCTGCCTTTCGGCGTGTGTCGGGCTAGGACCACTCGCTGGCACCACCCTCGTTTACAGTCTTGTCTTCTCCTAGAATACAACAACGACATTTCACTCGCCTTGTCCCTGTGGTCCAAGAGGATGTAAAGGTTCTTCAACGAGGGATAACCTAATAAGGACTGCGTGAGGCTCTTCTGCGGGGAGGTAGGCTTGTACTTATACGGGAGTAAGTTACCAAGCTATGACTAGTGGCACAAGCACGTAGGTTTTATCTAAACTAGGCGGTACTTAATTCAACCAACTATTAATTATTATTCTAATAAAAGTTCATCTCTTATAGCTTTATTCATAATAAAATAACTAATAATGGCCTTTTGGGAGAAAGAAATGGCCTCCTGGGAGAAAGAAGAGGCCATTTGGGGGAAGAATATAGCCTATTGGGAACTAGCAGGTTGGATTGAAAATAAGTTAGGTATAAATATTATTAAATAACAATTTATTACTTCTGGTAAAGTAAGTAAGGATAGATAAAAAAGAACCTATAGCTAATATAAAGAACGAGGATGGTAGCCGGTATTCTCCTTATTACAATAGTAAGTAGGCTGGAAATGCTATTGAAAATAGGTAGATAAAAAAAAACCTGTAGCTAATATAAAGAACGAGGATGGTAGCCGGTATTCTCCTTATTACAATAGTAAGTAGGCTGGAAATGCTATTGAAAATAGGTAGTAAGGCTGCTTTAACGCCGCTTAATACTCTATATAGAACGAGCAAAGAGCTTTAATCCTTCTCTTTCTCAGTCGGAAGCTGCCTAGTTCACTGCGGTAAAACAAACTCCACTTTAGCGCAAAGTTAGATTAAGGTCCGCGGATTCATCAGCCTGCGCTATCTTCGACTAAGTACCTAGGTACCTTTATACCTTTTAACAAGTATCTTTACTTTGTAAGTTAGATGTAATTAGCAGCCTCTTCTTAATATAACAATGTATAATTTGACGTCTTTTAATTTCGGACTAAGTAATTCTTAATAAAAATGATCTAGTTGTTTGAGCGCGGCCCGCGGCAGCGCGAATAAGTCGACTAGATCAAAGTTTGGACATACCCTCCTCGTTTGTTAATCTGACAGCCTGCTAAAATAGTGTAAAATGCGTCTACGGACCTTGCGCTTTAGGCCTGTCCCTCTTAACATCTACTTCAACAATAACAATTTCTCCCCCAACTTAATATAACCCTACTAAGTGACCACTTCTGGCTGCTACAATACAAGTCGAGATAAATTAGCTATGTAAATTCTATTCCCTTTTTAAGAAACTAGGATAAGATTTAACTAAGGAGCAAAATGTAGCGTTATCTTTATCTTATAACTGGAGCCTAGGGCATAAGTCTTTCTATGTACCACAAACAAATTTAAAATTAAAATGGCGAGATCTGAAGTGTAAAACAAGAAGATACTATTTAGATAAAACTAAATAGTATAGGCCTAAACAAAGCTCCAACGACCGATTCTACTTAAGTAAATTCCAACAAGACACTTTAATAATCTTTAATATCGCGAGCTATCTATTATTCTTTTTGAGCTTAACTTCCCGCACCGTCCCTTTTGTCCTCGCGCACCCTTTTTAACTTAATGCACCCCCATAACAGCTAGAATAGTTTTCAATCGTTTTTATATAAAAATTTCGATATTTTCAATATTTTGAGCATAGTAGTACGCTAAGTCAATTGCGATAGCGACAGCGATAGCGACCGTAATAGCGATAGCGACCGCGACTATAATAGCGACAGCGACCGCGACTGTAATAGCGATAGCTAAGTTGTGTTGTATTAAAATGTGGCCTTGATTGTACGAGAAAATATTATATGCGAATTAAAATTACGGATTGATTTTACTATACAAAACGGGGTGCTTTACATGCCAGCTGTCAAGCAGCTATCGGATGGAGGAAGTGCGGTGTATTAAGTCAAAAAAGAGTGCGCGAGGACAAAAGGGACGGTGCGGGAAGTCAAGCTCTTTTTTTTTGGCCTTTTCATCCTTTGCACCTCAGAAACAAAGGTAAAAAAACCTCAAAGCCGGAGGAAGCCCGGCGGTAAGCAGACGCCGACACACCCATGGATAGACACTCACTTACTCATAATCTTTTACTTATTAAAAAAAAAACTTTGTAAATAAAATATAAAGTTACCAAATTAGTTGTCACAATTTATTCAAACCTCGCTCTTTCTTTTCCTTCTATTCACTTCTATTGTTTGTACATTCTTTTCCAAAAGAGAACTCAGCATTCCATCTATCTTAATATCCATCCCACCGCCGCCAACTTCACCATTCCCCATTCCGGCAGTACTGCAGCAGCAACTTTTCTAGTCTACACCTACCTACTACAGTGGAATTAACAGCGAGTCCCGTCGCAAGAGGTACAGGCAAAGAAGCCTCCCTCATAAATGCGTGCCCCAACCTCCTCACTATTAACTAACCAACCAACTAACCAATCAAGCTCGGTCCGGTCCGCTGGCTCAATAGTAGAGCGTCTGACTACGAATTAGGAGGTTAGGTAGGTTCCAGGTTCGACCCCTAGGTGGATCGATTCTTTTCTTTTTTATGTTATATTATACCCTGGGATTCTCTTTTCTTTTGACTTTTGACTTTTAACTTTTAACTTTTGACTTTTGACTTTTGACTTTGACTTTTTGCCTGGCTGGGGATCCTGCATGGACATAGTCGGCTGTACCACACGTTTTAGTCTTTTTAATTTCATTTTTGGGGTTCCCTTTCTTCATTTTTCTTTTTTTTCCTTGTTTCGGTATTTTCTATCGTAATTAAAGGACTGTTATTAGGAGCTCACAGGAGGAAGAGTGAAATCGTGAATATTGTTCTGTCCAGTCAGGTGTGTGTGCATTGGACATGTTTGTCGTTGTGGTACGAGTTCACTATGTGAGAAGAAAAGTTGGGGGGAGTGAGTCGATCTAGTTTCAGTGGAGCTCTACCTTTGTAGTATTTTTTTTGAGGACTGCGTGTCTGATTTTTCACTCTCTAGGAGTTTCGTAGCAACTTTGTAACAACGAGGTAGAGCCCTTGGGTGACCTTGCAACCGAAATTTTCACTCGAGACGTTGTAGTAGAGAGCAGGACTATGTGAAGTTGGGTATTACTTGTTACAATTAAGCTACCCTCAAGTATCGACCTTCACAAGACGCCCTTGATGTTGCCCAAGGGCATTACGACTATGACTATGTACTGTGTACCACGTCCCATTCCATGCTCCTTCATCCATGAGGTTGCCGATCCCTTCCAATTTCCTTTCCATCATGCATTGATCCGTAACGCCGAACTTACAAGCAAAACAAAAATGCAAATGCTAATGGGGTATCATTCCATGCATGCAGTAAGCCACCAACAGATTGCTCCAATCAGGTACAAAATCGCTTGCTCCAAGACCGTCAACGCTTGTCGTAACACATCCTCCCCGATTGTGGTGACTGGTGATATGCTACCTCAGGCCCACTTGCCCAGAAGTGCCATGACGAAGCAGCCGGTGAACATGCAAGCCAACATGAACAGCACACGGGTTATATCGCGAGTGCGGTTGGGGTTGAAAAGAAAGTCGCGGGCTAGAAGCTCGACGAGGCCTGTGTACAACAGGATGCCAGCCGAGATGGAGTCCAGGATGCCCGAGACAATCGAGGCAGTGAAGCCGGTGCTCTCGTAAGTGGTGGCCATGCCGAGACCGATGGCGAGAGCAATGGGAGTCGTCAAGCCGTAGGCGAGGCACAAAGCCCAGGGCATCCAACCCAGGCGCTTGGGGAAGGGGATCGATGACAAGCGAGCGCCGATACCGAGGCCCTCGAAGGCCTGATGGAAGACGACGACAGGATAGAGAGTGCTGAACTCCTCGCCGACGACACCGAGGTTGAGGCCAATGATGACGGAGTGAAAGAGCACGCCGAACTCGAGGATCAGAAAGGCCGCGATCTGCTCGCGGAAGATACGCTCAGAAGCGGGGGAGTCGCCGGTGAGGAAGGCATGGCTCTCGATGTCGATGGTATCCTTCGAGTGGTCATGAGAGCTGTGAGTGCCGGTGGGGGATGGCGCAGTGGGATGAGCGGCGGAGACCTGGGCGTCCTGGTCGTCTTGGTCGCCAGAGTGGAGGAACTGGTGACTGGAGTGGGCATCATGACCGATGGTGGACTGCTTGCGAGGAGAGTCATGACAGTCATCATGGGACTCGGAAGTGTTGCCGTCATCGGTAGAGGTTGCGCCATCAGTGGTATGGGCGGGGAAGGTGGTGATCACCTTCTCGATGCTGATATCGGCCTGGTCGCACTCATACTTCTGTTCGACGTACCACTCAGCGCCGAAGTCCAAGAGGAAGATAAGCATGACCGAAGTCATGGCAATAGCGGGAGGCCATGAGTAGGCGTCCCAGCCCTTGGTCATGCCGACGCAAGAGGCGGGGCCGATCTCCTCGTAGGCCGGGTCGAGAAGGTGGATGAAGGCTGTGGCAATGATGACTCCGGCGCCGAAGTAGCGCGCGAAGAGGTAGACATAGCGGGGGATGCGAAGGCGAGGGATGCGAGCCGCCAGAACCGGGAAGAGAGTGGTCAAAGAAGAGGTGGCCATGATGACGAAGAGGGCCGAGATGCGAAGGCCAACGCGACCATCGTAGTCGTTGGGGGAGGCGTTCAAGTAACAGACCACAGTGCGAGGGTCTGCGGTGTCGAGGTCGACAAGGTGAGGGTTGAAAGCCTCGGAAGCCGAGGCAGTATCGGCAGCGGAGGACGACATGTTTCGAGATAACCTATGATAACTCGTCAGATGGCGTTGACGAGGAGAAAGGATGATGAGGTTTTAGGTGAGAGAGAACGTTCAAGGTGATGATGCGTTGAAGAGATGATGTAAGGTCGCGCAAAACGTGAGCAGTACTGCGTAGTGCGTCGAGCTGACTGCACAACGGGAGGGGGGAACTCTGTCCGACGTGCAAAGTCGGAAGGAGTGAGTGAGGTGAGTGGACGATGGATGAACGACGTACCTGAGCGACGTGGCACTTGTTGTTTTGGTGGTGGTGGAGTAGACTAACAGCTTAAGGAAGCTTGATGACCTCCGCGCTTGTGTTGTCAACTACGCGACCGAGTGGAATCTGTTGGTGGGGGAAAGGAAAAAAGCTGGAATTGCTTCCAGAAGAAAAAATAGAGTTTGTGTGGGATTTTATAGACAGTAGAATCTGCAGCGTGGAAAAAAAAAAAAAAAAAAAAAAAAAAGGAACCAGGCAGATTTCCAGAAATGCGTCTTGTCGTCCGAACTATGCTGCAATCAGCCGCCTGTGTGGATTGTGGACTGATGGCACAAGAACATGAACGAAACGAATGGAGTGACGGTAACCTGAACTTTAAGTATTTACCGGCAAAGGGAAGGAAAGGGAAATATCTGCGACGGCAACCGAATATCGGATGAGGAAGTGAATGGCAGAATTTTCCATATTTGATTTTTCGACCTTTAAGATATTAGGCGCAAGGTTATTATCTCAGGTGCTTCCACTCGCTCGCTCGTGTTTCTGTTTGTACCTTAACGGGCAGACTGGGATGTTTTGCTTGAGAACCTTGATGGCCAAAAGGGCCGTGACTGGACCGGCTGCTGATACCACCTCACTCTTTCCATTCACCTTGACCTTGTTGGTTGGCCCAGCTTCCGGCTTGGTGGAGGGAAGGAAGGAGGGAAGGAAGGAGCGCCAACGAACCGGATTGGCTGCATCTCTGGCATATTTACATCCTGTCAATACGGCATGCGGCTCCGGGAATGTCGACTTCTCAGCCTTTGGAAAGTTGACGTGAAGTGGATCGTCGTCCATCAATTCAGCTAGCTGTGCCGCCAATCCCGAGTAATGAATGTACAAAGTAACCTCTTGTTCACTCGGCCACAAAACACGCGGTTCTGGGAAGGGGATCACCAAATGCATATAGGACAGTGGAGCGAAAGACCAAAGCCAGGGAATATTTGTTCCGATGTCGAACCGGCGCATTTGTGCCTTTTTAAAAAGCTCCCTCCTTTTCGCCAAAAGATTCCATTGCCATGGTCTGGGTCTCCTCCGAACCCCAAACACAGGTTGGCCATCGAGGTTCTCATTTGTGGTCTGTGCGTCGTAAGCATGACGCATGCATGACCTATCTGCGGTTTGAATGACTGTTTTGGTAGTGACTATTCGCCAAACCCTTGACCGCTAGGAAAGATTGGGATCGATGGTCCATTTTTCAAATCAGTCAAGCTTTTGTCAAGCTTTTACTTCCACGCAGGAACTGATGCGGTGATGGATGAATGTTCTCCACCGATGTGGTCTGCGGGGAACGCCTTCTCTGCTCCGACGTTTGGGGTTGTAAGACGAGGGACAAAGAAGAAGGCGTCCAGATTGTACTACTCGAAGCTATTATTTGCCGCTATGAATTATGCAATATCGTGATTTTCGATCTGGAATCGGTTTGATGATGCCTGTTGGATAGACCAACAACCGCTCGACGTCAATCATGAAAGCGTTTGTCGCGGGAAAGCAACCAATAGAATGAACAGGAGACGGCACGGCCCTGTGTAATAATATGGGTCTGAAAGTAGGGGGTTCAACGTGGCTGTATTGTGTGTTCTGTTGTGCTAATCTGCACCTGGCTCGATATCTGGCATCTAATATAAATCCCGTAGCTAATCCGCTCCTCCGAAATCTCGTAACTATGTACGTACATATCCCCTACCGTTTAATATACCCCCTTAGATCTAGCGTACAAACCGTACTAGATCTACTTAAAAATACCTTAAAATCCTTCCAAAACTAGCCAGAAATAATATTATTCCTAAATATAATTCCTAATTATTCTTTATTATAATAATTTTTAAATTATTATTCGTAAGAACTATTAATAAATATATTCGCTGTTTCGTTGTTTGTATCCTCCTTACTAAAATCTTCTATACTTTTAGGGCGCCCTATAATAATATTTCTATTATTAAACTCCCGTAATTAAATCGGTAGCCGCTATAATTCTATAAATCCCAATTATTCTAACGAAGTTAAATAAACTACAAGAAGGAAGATCTTCGTAAACTTATTAACAATCTACTCTTTAATTGATATATATACTATATTAATTAATTTCCTCTCTTATACCTACTTTAACTAATATTTATATATATCTACGTATTTAAACTTCGTAACGAATTATACTCCTTCCTTTATAATAAAGCGGATTATTTACTTATTATCGTACCCTATAAAAGTCCCCTCCTAATTTAAAAAACCTAATATAAATTTATTAAATAAGCGGTAAACGTAAATCGCCTTCTTAATACTTTAATTTAAAAATAGTAATTTAATTTCTATTAATAAAGTTATAATAATATTTTACTTATTAGTACGCCAATCGATAATACTGCTTAATAACTATATTACGAACGCCTATAAACTCTTACAATTAAGGGAATTATCTATAAATAAAGAGTTAATTATAATATAGAAGTCCCAATAGTCTTTACTATTTAATTAAAAGGTGAAATCTTAAATTATAAGAAACTAGAAGATTATCCGATCTACTACTATATAATAAATAA